TTTTTTTTTTTTTAGGACTTCCTGCAGCATAATCTCTCTGGACTCTGTATCCCAGACAATCTGCTGAGGAACATCTACTTATATCCCAGTCATACAAAGAACAATCGTAACAAGAAGCATTGTGCTCTCTACTGTAAACACCAAGAGAATAAAATAGAAAGATTAGGGGGAAAAAATGATTAAAAATAGCACCCCTTTTCTTTCCAGAGGAAATAACGTGATTTTTACCCCCGTGCCTTTTGTCACTGTTGTAACAATGGCTCATTTTAGGCCATATCTGGGTGCACTCAGAACCAGGAAACCCTGGCACAAATGGACTGTGGCAGTGCTTTGTCTGCACTCTGTGTCTGGGCCTAAGGGACTCAGAGGTTCACAGAGCTGTTCCAGGGGGTAGGTTTTCCCAGAGCACAATTCCAGTGACACCTGCAGCACTGGAGAGCTCTGCAGGTTGTGACAGTGATGGTGATTTGCTGGAACATCCCATCCTCTCTAAATAAAGTTGTTCATTTTGCACTGGGGCAGAGGCTCAGTGACCTACTGCTGATCAGGCCCCACAGCACAGTTCCAAGCCCTTATTCCCAGGGAGATCCCTGCCATTGACTTTGCAGGAACCACAAAAAATCAGTTCTCTGGATTTGCCTTGCTAGAGAAAAAAAAATCCCAATAAAAATCTATCCATCCCCCTTAGCCCCACAGCAGGATTGTGGCCTGCAAACTCACATCCCTGGAAAACATGGAAGCATTAGGATATCTTACCTGCATCCCCCACTGTTTTTCCAGGAAGAACCTTCACTACCACCACCACTACCATCATGTTTTTCCTTGTGCCACAAGAAATACACAGTTGGCATTGACTCCATATGCTTTCTTCCTAATGGGAATACCAAAGGATCACATTAGTTATGTTTTTACTAATAAAAATGTCATTTCAGGATGTTTTCAATACCAATGGATATAAGGGAAACCCCGTACTCCTGCAAAATCAATGGTGCAAAACCTGCCCCCTCTTCCCATTCCATCTCTCCCAGCAGAGAAAATAAGCAACAAGCCACCTTTCTTTTCTATATTTCAAAAGTCAAACTGCTTTGGAGGAAGCACAGGAACTGAAAACTGCTGTACCCTGGCATCACACATCCACATTTCCTCTGATAAGCAGCTTCTCATTTTCCAGCATCAAGATTTTTCCTTTTCCCCCCCTTTCTTTGTCCTTTGGAGCTCGGATTTTTAACTCCTCCCTTTCAAAAGAACAGCTGGCTGTGCTTGGTGTTGGTCCCCTGGGTTTGCACCTCCTCTCCCACCCAGAGTTCCTTCCAGACAGGCCTCCTGAGTGATCCACCTTAATTAACAAGCTGCCCTGGGAAAGGGGGTAAAACACCACGTACTAAATGCCTATCCTGAAAAACAGCTGAAAGTGGTGATGCTTGTTGCTGTTGAAACTCCTGATGCTTAGCATCAGGAGGGAGCACTTGTTGGAAAAAGTGAGGTGGGAGGTTGAGTTTTTGTAAGAAAAGTACTTTGATGGAAACAGGGACCAGGATTTCACTCCCATCTCACTGGGGCTCATTTTAAACACTGAAAACAAATGTTTTCCACAAGGAAGGCACCAGAATCCTCACCAGCTCCAGAAATTTGCTATATTAAAGCTGTGTGTTATCTTGTCAACACGTAGAACTCTCCTGTAGCAAGGTCTTTAATATTAATGAAATAATGTTTGTGTTTCCCATTCCTGGATCCGAGGCCGGTGCTAACGACCCTCAGGAGCAGCAGCTGTTGGCAGACACAGCACACACCATTCCAAAGGACCGAGTGCTCCCCCCCTCCTCTCCAGCCTGTGGGATGCAGGAGAGATCCATCTTTCTCCAGGCATGCAGCAAAGTTCCATGCTCAGGGCTCTCTCCATCTCCCAGCTGCAGCCACTGGAGACTGAAGCTCTTCACTACTGCTGTCTCTCCATTAGGATTCCTCCCCAACTTCCCTATTCCACAGCACTGCAGGGAAATATTCTGGCCAAGAAAATACTCATTTCCTGTATCATCTCAAGACTGTGATGCTGCATCTTCCTGCTGGGGTGATTTACAAGTATCTCCCGACCTCTGATTCCTTTAAAACCAGAAGTTGTAAGTCAGTGTTTAAAACTCCAAGGCTGACTTTACGTTGTTCCTTAAGGGAGTGGGTGGAGTGAGTGTAAAGACTGGAATTCACTTGCACTTGAGTTCCTCCCACCTGCTTCATCTCACTGGCACTTCTGGCAAACAATTCCTGGGCAGGGAGAGCCCGGAGCTCATCCCAGTGTGTGGGTGACCACAGAGATATAAAGCTCCTCAGCCTCTGAACAAATTCAATTTGTGGTCAGAGGCAGAAATAACTCCTGGTGAGTATCCAGGAGTGAGTGACTGCCTTCATCCTCACAATATGGTCCATGGAAAAAAGAGAATGTGGAGTGATGTGCTGAGCAAGTGAAGAAATCAGGGAACTTTTTTTAGGATGACGGAAACAACACTGACAGCATTGAGGAAAACCAAGTTTTCTTCACCCCCTCCAGCATAGATGTGAAGTTATAGGTCAGAGTCACCTCAGCAGGAGGTGCAGCTGCATTAGCAGAGGAAGGAATCAAACCAGTCAATAAAGGAATTGATACCTGTCTATAGTTAGAAAATGCCTTTTACAGAACAAGCTGTTCCTCTGGATCCCTGAGAAATGGAAGAGTTTTATTGAGTTTCTAAACACACAGGGGCATGTATAATTGATATTGTCTGACTGCCAGGCATTTAGAGCCTTTCAGGGTTTTAAATGCTCCCTTCTGTTGTGCTTTCCTCCTCAAGAATCCATCCAACAGCTACTGGAGAAAGAGCAGACATGTAAAAGTTATGAATTTCCTCAGCAATGAGCAAGGGGATGGTAGACAAAGCTTAAAGTAGATGATACCAAGATTTCTCTTGGATCAAACCAACCAAAAGATGCCTCCCAACTATGAAGGGGAAGCTGGTCCAAGGAGTAAAGAGCTTTTTAAATGTAAAACTCACACCAGCTGTGCAGAAGGACTCACTTGGTGTCATGGAGAAAACATTTTCTTAATGGTGTAAAAGCTCACAAACATTCCATGAAGGAACATCTAACTTTCATTTCCCCTATTCCATGAAAAAATCTTTTATTAAGATGGGATTTACAGTATGAGACAAACTCAGTGGATCATTCCAAGTCATCAGTTTTGCCAGCAGACCAAAAACTGAACTTTGAGCTTTTTGTTATCGCTGATGTCACCAAGAAGTGAAAACATTGACAAACAACTGTATTTAAAAATCTATTTTAAAGCAACCCCCAACACCAAGCAGACATAATCCATACCATCAACACTGGAGGTTCCTAACCCTTCACCTCATATCAAAAAGAATTAAAAAGGGGCATTTTTGCAGTGGGTAACTAACTTGGATTTGTTCTCCACTTTACCCTCTTTAGAACAACCAAAAGCAAAACTTCTAAACAGCCAATTTTATACTTACTCACATGGCAGTAAACCTGTTTCTCTAAGAAGCATTCACAGAGTAACACAAAACCCCATGATTTTTATTTTCTTTTATAAATAGGAAAGCAGGCTTGGAAGCTGCATGCTTTAAAACTCTTAATTTTTGAAGAGAAAATGAGAGGAACACTTGGATTTTTGTGGCAGATGAAGACAGGCCCCGGAAGCAAACCAAAATAAAATTAATAAGCACCAACAGAATTCCAGTGAATTTTTACACATGACTAACAAACAGCCTCAAATTTACCTCGGTGTTATGGAGCCTGTAGAAATCTCATTTTGCACCAGTCAAAGTCAGAAACAGCAGGTTGAGAGGAACAGAATTACACTTTTCAGCATGTCAGCACCTGCCCCTGCCTGCTATTTCTGGGAAAGGCACAAGGCACATTCACCAACCACAATTCCACTGCAATTAGTCTAATGGCAAAAACTTGGGCTTTACCTTTCTCTCATTTGGGTTTTCGAGCAACCCCTTTATTTCCTCTTGGATTCTTCTCAGCATAAAGTGCCCAGGTTTGTCTTCAGTTCAAACAGAAATAGCAGAAGATCAATAAAGGTTTTCATCAGAACGATAACGACAAAAAAATCCAATATGTGTCTCATGGAACCACAATTTAGACTCTCCACAGAGGTGGTTTTCTATTGGCAAAGTCAGTAAAAGACTTGCCTCATAAATAAGTTTCAGCTTAATATATTCATAAATCAATAAATAAATTAAAAATAAAATTAATAATAAAAATTAATTAAATAATGAATTAAAATTCAGCTTGTGCACATCTGAGCACATGGTACAGACTCTACAAGGGTTTTACTCGTTGGGCAGCAGGTTTGGTTCACAAAACTTCACATCTGCTGCAATTTATTCACATGTGTTCACCTGTATTTATTCACATGAGAAATGCATCTCTAATCCAGTTTGCACTTGTGGTGTTTTACAATTAAGAGATTAAAAAAAGCAGGGGTTAGAGGAAGCTGGGAAGAATATTCATTTCAACTTCTTCATTTAAACTTCTTCATTGAGATCTACTCATAAGAAAAATCAGATGTTTTAAAGGTCCATAGAAATTGGGTGGACTCACCTGGAAAAGCCACAAATAGATGAGTTTTCACAATTTGCCACAAAAACATTGCCAGGAACAGGGAAAAAAACATCAATACTGTCCATGACAGGCACTATCCTGAAATAGGGAGGTCTCCATAGTTTGATTTTTTCATCCATCTCACCTTACAGACACGGCTTTGTACTCAGAGAAGTGATAAAAAGCAGGTTCTAGGGGAGCTGAGAAAACAAAAAATGTTAGTTTTAATACTGACAAAGACTGTTCAACATCATTTCAGGGAATAGAGAGCCAGGACCTCGCCCTTTTTTCACATCCCTTGCAAGGATTTCTCTGACAGGCTCACTCATATTAAAAAAAAAGCAATGTAAGAAGTAAAGCTCACAACTGAGATGTGAGGATTGGCACATTAGGAAAATCATTTGGAGTTGAGAATGGAAAAAGAGAGAAGTATAAATTGTCTTATTATTGCTACAGCACTTCCTAGAAAAGCATCAGCCCAAGGAATGGGGACCTTGGAAGAAGAAAATGAGTGTTTTAGCGGGATCGTCATCCAAGAACCACGTTCTGCTTTCCTAAATAAGAGCCCAAAATGTCCTGTATTCCTGGGGGACTGCACCTGGCAGTGCCCTGAGCAGGACAAAAGATGCCAAATGAAATGTTCCTGGAATCTCAATCGGAATTCTCGCTGCTGGATGAGAAAGGTTTGCGTGGGACAAAAATGGACAGGATTTATTCCATCCACAGAAGCTCCTCCTGACCACTGAGCCCGAGGCTGTGCTGGGAATTACACAGGGCAAAATCAGTTCCCAAATTTATAATGGGAGAGATTAAGGCAGAATGGTACATTCTTATTACAAATAAGCCCCATAGGCACAGGATAATATATTTTAATAATGATTTATCCTTGATTCCAAACTGATTTTATCTGTGTTTTTACCTTCTTCTTCTCCAGAAAATTACTGCAGTGTGACTAATTCCCCCAGGGAAAAAGAAAAGGAATTAAGAACAGTACCTTTCAACAGGAAAAGAACCTCTTAATCAATGCTTTAATGTTTTAATAAAATTCCTGCTACCAGGGAAATGGTGAAGTCCAGATTGAAAATATACCTTCAAGATGGTTTTCAGGAAACAAATGTGCATTTTTAAGGTTGGTTTTTTTTTTAATATATATTTTAAAAGTACATCCTTGGGGCCAGCAGTGTCCTCTGTCAGACACTGAGGTTCACTGGGATGCTAAAATTGCATTAGGAATATTCTGTTTGGCTTCCAAGATCCATGTGCAATTTAGGCCTGTGAAAATTCAGGATCTATGTGCAGTTTAAGCCTATGTGAAATTAAGGAATCTGAACAGATAAAATGAAGGATACATAACATACAGTTCTGCAATTAAGAAGGAAATCAGTGCATTTAATGTTTATAAGATAATGTAAAGAATTCCTACAGACAGAAGCAGAAAGCTTGGAACTTCCTTGAATAAAAATTCCTAAACTATTTCAAGCTTGTATCCTCAACAAAAAAAGAATAAAAATGCAGAAAGGTGTCCCAGCCAAATGTAATAAATAAGCACGTTGAAAATAATAAATATTAGGTGTTCAGAAGGCACAAAGATGATGACAAAGAGCTCAGTTTAGGTTACTTTTTAAAGTGATAAGGAAGTGTAATAATAAAAGACTTCCCAGTGGTGAAGTTGGATCAGATCTCACAAAGCACATTAAAAGGAAGATAGAAATAAATTCTTCAGCCTTTGAACAGTGAAAATAATTTGAGGGTCCCACATGACGAGGGCTGCAAATAAAGCTGCATAGATATTTAAGAAATTAAGGAAAACACGGCACAGTCAGTGTGCATCTGTTAACCCAGCCTGGCTGACATGCAAAGCTTAAAGAGAGAGACTTCTGTAAAAACAAAGATGCAGAGTTTAATATAAAAAATGAGATATAATGCAACAGCAAGACCAGTTCTCTGCTCACCAGGCATTTGTCTTAGATTAGATCTACTTTATTATCTGTATTTAGAAGAATCACTTTTCTTACCAGTCACTTCATAGGAGGAGCTGGTTAAGATGGAGACAAGGATACTCTTGTAGGATGGGACACAGCAAGCCAGGGAAGAGACAAAATGGGAAGCATCAGGCTATGGAAAGGCTGGAATTGATTTCATTTAATAACCTTGGAAAGAAATACTGGAGAGAGGGAGGAAAGAAAGAGTGCTCATGGCACAGGTCTGGGAAAACTCAGGGGTAGATGGCACAGCTTGTCCTCAAACTTCTACTTGCTGAATTTGTTTAGATTTGATACCAAGCTGCCCAGTATCACACAGTCCTTTAAGAACAAAGCCAGGTATAAAATACAATAAAAACCCCACGTTCCCTTGTGCCCCTTCTAAGTGAGATTAACTGATGATTTTTTACCAGCATGTAGATGCCTCCCAAAATAAAGTCTAAGCTTACACAAACCAGCTATGGGGTCAACACCCCTGTTTAATCTATGGAAGCAGACATTTAAGAGGCTACAAATATGCCTTGAAGGTGACCTGTTATTAGGAGGTAGAAATATTTCCTATATTTTTCATGTTTTGAATCTAAACACACAAGAGCCTGCAGGGCTGATGTTCCTGGACACCGCAATGAAATAAGGTGAGTACAAATCCTGCCCCTAGAGATGAAATAAAAGCCAGTGTTTTTCTGAAGCCCTACCCAGATTCAATTATTTAGGTAGTGTTAAGTAACATAATTAAAGAGCTCTGTTCAGCAGCTGATATTCCTGATTTAAGCAGCACACCAGGCACAAGATAAGATTTCAGTGTTTAGAGCAATTACTGCTTTTCTAGAAGGATAAAGTGTTAAAACACACACACACAAACCAAAGGAGTGTTTTGAAGTGCCAGGAGGTGAGGTGACATCATCACTACAGCCCATCTGCTGGGGAGAACGTGGAGCAACAGATGACGAGACAAAATCTCTTCTGGTGTAAAAGGATTGAGTTCCACCGACTTCAGGACATTTATCCCAACGGTCCCGAGCGTGACAGATTAAAACAATGACACACTTCACAGACTGGCAGAGGGGAAATAAGTTTAAAGCCATCAAGACTGAAGCAGCTCCTTTAGAGCAGTTTATTCTTTTCCTGACAAATGTATTTGCAGATGCTAAAAATCACGACTGTGGCAGCTTCTCACAGGAGTCAACATGCTGGAAAAAAAGTAGGATATTTCTGCAGAGATAAGAAAGAACATATGGGCCTTATTGCCAGCTAAGGGTCCCTTTTAAAACAATTTTCCTCAATCTGATTTGCTTCCCAATTACACTAAATCCTGCCCTGATTGCTCTCACGGAGCTCTCTCAGAATTTGGCTTCCCTCGAAGATGTATTTTTCCCTCCCCTGGTTACCGCCTTTGTTATTGATTTTTAGCTAATCCCTGCAGTTCTAGAGAAAGGTTTTGGCAGGTTTCCCTCCAGGCCTGCAGATGCCCATTTCCCTTATCCCCAGAGCATCCTTTCACCCCTCAGTTCCCAGCCCTGTCTCTGCTGTCTGGCTGTGCACACGCCCTGCCCAGGGCCAGCAGGGAGAACGTTTAATATCCTCTCTCGACCAGACAAGAAAGGCAACATCTGCCCCCCTCAGCAGAGGGTCTGCTCAGGGAACCTGTCCCACAGAAGGGCTCTGGCTGGACCCAGCTGCACAGAACTAAGGACTAAACAATCCCCCCTGGCCGTGGCAAAATGTGTCGCGGGAGAAATTTGGCCCATTTTCTCCTCTCCTTGTTGGGAGGAGATTAGACTTGTTTGAAAGACCCTTTTGACCAATGTGGCAGAACTGTAATCAGAAAAGTGCTTTCATTAACACCTCTGACAGAAGAGGTTGTGTCAGAGAAAGGGTGGGGGGGGTCTTTTGTCACAGAAATAACAGAATAAATGCTCTGTTAACAAATAGAAATCACAGCCCTGGAGACTGGGCTGCCAGCGTGTAAGCTGCATTCTGAGAACTAAATGAGTGGCTAAACTGAGGAAAAAAAAGCTTAAAGAAACTTCTTTTGGCTATTAATATAAAATTTTAGCTACTAACATAACATTTAGGACTAAAACCTAACTAGAGCTGCCTCTGGGAACAGCCACTGTGGTCTAAGTACTTCTTTTGGTGTAGTTTCTGGGGTTGGGCTTATTTTTGTTTGGTCGTTGTTTGGGGTTTTTTAATTGAGGAAAACATCAACTGTGAATTGCTTGGTTGGTTTTCTTAAGGCAGAGAAGGAAGATTTGGGTTATAGTTTTGGACAGAGAAATCACAGAAACAGAATCATAAACCAGTTTGGATTGGAAGGGACCTTAAAAGTCGCCTACTTCCAATGCCTCAAATTTTCCTCCAAGGGAATGGAAAAATCTCAGAAACCACAAAGGAAATTCGAGGATGCCAAGGCCTACTAAATATAATTAAAATATTTCTCCCTTTATTTTTAGAATTGGCAGATGGGGCATTGACACCTCGGAATGAAGGCAGGGGGAGAAGTTCTGAACAGGTACAGAGCTCCCAAAAGTGGGGAGCAGCTCCTTCAAAAGGAGCTTCCCTAAATCCTTAGTCTCCAGTTGCTCCAGCTGCCACTCAGGAAAAGGGACAGGGTTCAAAGCTTCTCCCCTTCAAGCCAAGCAATCAGGAGATGGGATGACACCAACTCCAGCCCCTGGAAAGGCTGGGGCAGAGCGTGAGGCAGATCCCTGCTCCAGGGGCTGCTGCCCATCCCTCTCCGACAGCAGTCGCTGCAATCCCAGGGCTGGAGGGACGGCAGGAAAAAGGGAGCGTCGGGCTGCTCCCCCTCACACTGGGCGGGTCTATCAAGAATTTCGCCGGATTTATTCCTGCCCCGGCTTGCTCAGGTTCAGCGAGGCTGGGGCAGAGCCGGCCTGGAGTCGAGCAAACGCCGCAGCCATTCAGAGCTCCTGCTTTTGTTTTGGGATGAGGAAAACTGCAGGTTTTCCACCAGCCAAGTGCGGGCTGCTCTGTGCCTGATAACGGGGGATTAGAGCGGAGGGGAATGGAAAGTGGGAGCTCTTTGTTTTGGGGCTAATTAAATCAATTACGTGCGTTAAGGAGGTGTAAGAACCTCCGGGTTCTACAAACGCTCAGTGGATTTTGCCCCTTTATTGCCCCGCTGGCCCACTCTGACAAATATTCCCATTATTCCATTGGGGAATAATAACTGCAGGAAGTTACCTGGTGCTGGTGTGTGCCAAGGGCTGGGCAGTGCCACCCTGGAGAGATTTGTCACCAGGGACTGAGCCAGCTGACAGAGCAGTGCGATTCCTACGGCTGCTTCCCGCTGGAATCAGACGGAAAAGAAGGAAAAAAACCCACACAGAATAAACCAAAAGCAAACCACAAAACAAACAATGCGAAACGAGCCAAAAAAAAAAAAAAAAAAAAAAAAGGAAATCAATCCAGGAGATTAAAAAACAGGTATTTCCCCCCACAGTAAAATTCTCTGTTAAGTTGTATTAAAAAAATATTTAAGCCTTTATGACAGGATTGGAACAACAAACGGATTGAGAAAACAATCACTGGTGCGTGGAGATGTTTTTTGGCCGAGCGCAGCGGAGTTTTGCTTTCTCCCCAAGTTCTAAACCTCTGGCACTGCGGGGCTCAGGAGCAGAAAGGCTGACAGATTTAACTCTTGCAGCACGAGCGGCTTCGCTACAACGTGACACCGATAAGGCTGAAACCTGATCCCGGCGTGACTGTCACCCCTCAGAATGCGAGTCCTGCTACTACCACATACTTTGACTTCGGGCACCGGCGGTTAAAGTGACAGTTCATTTCTACAGCGTTATCTGTGAAAAAAAGCCTCGCAGGAGAAGAGGCTCCTGGTTTATTTATAGGCAAAACAGCTGCTTTCTGCATTCCATGGTCCAGGCTGAGGTCTGCTCCAAGTCCTGAGACAGCCTGAGCGTGGAGTTACCTTGTGGGGAAGTAAAACACGGAGCTGCTTCCCAAAGCAGCTCCTTTTCCAGGATGAGACACCTCCTCTGGAGCAGCTCTGCTGGTGGATTAAAGGAAACCACCGGCGAGGTGATCATTTCTGATGGTGCTGGCAGACCCACCTGGAACAGTTTAGAAAACAAAATCAAGTTCTCACAGCTGCTTTCCTCTCAATTTCCCTCCCGAAACGCTCATTAAATAAATACACAACAAGCAAAAGCAAATAAAGGCCTCGGGTCAAATCAGCCCGTTCACGTGGAGGAGATGAAGATCTGCTCCTCACCTGCACACTGAAGTAACTCTGCTCATACCACCCAGATGAAGGAATCTGCTGCTACTGCTTTCACCTACTCTATTTTTGGGTGCACATCCTGCTGTGCATCTGCAGCATAGAGCATTATATCCTTTTATTAGTTAACAGTGGGTGCATTAATGTGTATTACTACAAACAGGCATAACCCCCTCCCCATATTGTTACAAATAAAACTCCCTCATCTATAAATACAAGATCCACACTTTTTCACGCTCTCCACATTTGCTCTCAAGCAATAACATTCAACATTCATTGCAACTACAGCTTTCCAGCCCTAAATATTTATTCTTATATGGATTCACATTCTTAAATCATAGCATTGAAATACCCTGCGCTTCAACCCTCTTATATTTTTATTATCCTTTCAGAGGAGTTCTGTATCATTTATTTAGCTTCGTTATTGCTTTTCTCTCCAAAAAAGCCACTTCATTTAATGTAGCCACCACTTCCTTCATTCTTTAATATCTCTATAAATGGGGTGGGTGCCTGTGTGTTCTGACATCATTATGAGCATTTTGCCAGGCAGGAATCTGCAATTTTGCCAGTCTCATGCTGGAGGGGGGTAGAAATCCATGACATATTCCAGATTGGTTTGCTCTGTATGCACACAGATAAAGTCAAATATAAGCAGTTCCTTTGCCCAGGAATTCCAGCCTGGTTCCCCAGAAGTCAACATAAATTAAGAAAAGGCTCAAAGATCAAGACAGAACAAGACTTCCTGCTGCTTACACAGTTTCAGAATGAATCTCCACAGCCATGAATAATCCCAAATGAACCGTCAGCACAACACACTTCCCAAAACA